CAAAGTATGTTTGCCTGTTTGCAAACTGGAACTGAAAGCTATCATAAACCACTTCATTGATTGGTCATTTTCAAAATAGGCTGACATAGATATTTCACAGTGCTTTAACTATGGTATTTTGATGGGCAGTAATTTCATTTTCTTGTGATTTTCGAGAAGTTGTTGATAGGCAAATTCTTAAAAAAAGAATAATAAGTGTAATATATTGCCCCTTTGTATTTTCTGCCAGTGTATGGAAGCACACATACATGCAAACTTGCTGCATGAATCTTGTGTCCTTTGTCTTTGAATTGTTTCGCCTGTCTGTGAACTGTTTCCTTTGCCTAAATTAATATTTAAGCAGTTTGGATGAGTTGGCTTTTGAGCCAACCCAGAAGCTCGCTTCTTATTATGCTAGACACATTTAAAACTGATATATTTGTTAGTTATATAAGCTTCATTTGTTTTCCACTATTTTCTGTATTTTTTCCTTCCTCTGTGATTAAAACAGTGTGAATAAAGATGTGATTTGATTGGATTTAAGTTTGTGTCGTGTATAATGGCTGTAATTATGTACTTTAGGCTGAAGCACGTCTTGCCGCTAAGAGAGCAGCCAGAGCTGAGGCGAGAAGTATTCGTCTGAAAGAGCTTGAACGCCAGCAACAGGAAGGAGAAAATGTATGTCCACATAGCCAACAATGAGTTTAGTTGCTTTATTTACATTATCTACTGCAGAAAGGTGCTGTAAATTTGGTCACTCTAGAACCAGTAGTTACAAAGAACGTAGTTTTTGTAATTAATAATGTAAGTATGCGTGCTGTAAAAAATAGATAATTAATAATAATAATAATAAAAAAACAAAAAAAACAAAAAAAAAAAGTTACAAAGAAGGTACAAGTCACAAGTCCCAGGGAGTTACTCGTGAAGTTACCTCTTTATTCCCATTTCCCTCAGTCTCTAACCCTACCATATCTCCAACGGGATCCTGTATCAACCCCTTCACTACCCCCACATTAACCATACTTCAACAAGATTTTATCTCTTTTGTACTCTCCTAGATTTAAATACCTGCTGTCTCTGTCTTTATAGTCCATCTTCATCTCCATTACAGGGCTGTCAATAAGGGCCATAACCTGTAGCATCTGTTACGGCTGAGCATGCTTGATGGCCCTCTTTTGTTACGGGTGAACTTGGTAGTTGATACAATTCACCCATAACGTAACAAATTTGTTACGGGTTTGAAGATCAAGGCTAAAGGTGAATCAAAACTGAATGACAGCCCTGCATTAGGCTATGCAAGAAATTTCCCCATATTTGTTAGTCAGATAAATGATTGGTTTGATTTGATTAGACTCCCCCTTCTCCTTTGATGAAAATACACTAGTTTGAAAAAAATATAAGTCATGGCATCAATTTTAAAGCACAGACGTAGCAGATTGCATATGCTTCAGGTCATACATTTGTCTGTACTGCATTCTTGAATTTTTTCAAATCACACACAATATGAATGATTAATAGTTCAGACAAATGCGCTATGCTAAGGCTGATGGACAAACATTTGGTTTTGCGTCATGGCATACAGACAAAGTACCCCCATGGTCCACGCATAATGACTAACATCGTTAATCGTCCTGTTATCTACATGTAACTTAGTCAATAAGTATTTCAGCATACCACCTTTATTGAGCTTGATTTTGTAGGAGAATTGTAAAAATGTCTTGTTACACATGTATTCTGTATTTCTGTATTGTGCATTTCCAGAAAATATCCATACTCTGCCCCCCTCCCTACAGAAGGGTTTGGAATTTCTTGGGAGTTGGGGGATCTCCAAGACCAAAACATTTTAAGAAATGTATCAAGCTTAATTGGGATTTCAAGAGGCGTGGAGGGGAGGGGGTTCTTAGAGAAAATCCCTGCCTTGGTGAAGGTCTGGATATTTTCTGGAACTACACATTAGACATTCTAAATGAATATTGTGTGGAATGTACATCTGCGAGGCCATAAAATTATAGCTTTTTCTGGACTGGCTTGTGTCAACCTATCTGCAGTACTTTATTGTTGTCTATAAGAATGTTCCAGCAAAATCTGACTAAAGGTACATGTACATGTAAATTTAAAAGTTCAAATAGGCCATGTTCAATATATCAATATTCTAAGTTGGCTCTGAGGCTTTCAGGTTAAAATTGCCAATTTTTTAAGTTTCTTTTGTCCCTCAATTCCCCAAAGAGACTTGGATACAAAGTCAACACCACTAAAATAATATAGAAGTTTGTCCTGAAGACCTCGGAGCCATGCTAGAATATTGATATACATAGAACATGGCCTACTGGTATCATATTTTAGGTTGATGATGATGACCAGAGCATAAATGATGAGCCACCAATCCCACCAGCAAGAAAGCAGAAGGTAAGATGGCTACTGGATGACATTATTTATTATTGTTAACTCAGGGTATCATCAAGGGCCAGGCACAAGGCAAATTGACCAGCTGTGAGGATGATTTTGCCCATGTTTCTTATAAGGAAGTTCAGTTCAAAAAGTTTTGCTCGCCTGTGAAAACCCATTGCCCTCCAACTTAAAATGTTAATGATAACTCCTGCAGCGTAACAACTTGGTCTCTTGAGGGCTAATTTGTGAAAACCAGTAATGTTGTATACATGTAGTTGATGATGCTCAAAAGGTGACCCACTGGAGCACCTGCTGCTGTCAGTCTTTATTGAAAGCACCAATGTCTTAGACCAAACATCATTGTTTGGAATGACTGTCCAGTCCACATGTATGATATTGTATCAGATAATTTACTGGCAGGTAGTTATGCAGCATACTGTTGTATCCATAATGTCCTTGTGCCCAGCTCCTGTTAAAAGTATGTATTTAACATTTTATTGGGTTAAGAAATCTTGTCATTGCAGCTATTCTGTACCATATTATTGTAAAAATTCACAAGTTTCTTTGTGGTTTTCATGAAGGCTCCAGTAGCACGATCAATTTCTGCGGGATCATCAGGCACAAATACCACCACTAAGGATCAGAACATTGACATGAATGGACCACTGGTGCCTGAAAAGGTCTTGAAGAGCATTCAGGTTTGTGTCATTTATTTAACAAAAGATTCCATGTTGCAGTGCATCTGTTCAGTAATAGGTCACAGATGACATCAAAGTGTGGTAAGAACAAAAAAAGTGGCACACAAGGCCAGAGTTCCCATTAACGCACTGGTGTGCATCTTATGCGTCTAGTACGCACAAAAAAAAGACAGTTTTTTGGCAAAGTGCATCCCAAGGATACAGGATAAGAGTTTCAAAAATTTTAGTAATAGGTAAAGGAACTCTGAAAAGCCATAAGAACCCCCAAATCACTGGGGGTTACAATGACCCTCAACTATAAAAACTAGTGGGAACTCTGGAGGGAGTAGCCCTAATTCCCTCTGGAATTTCCAATCCCCTCGGTGGTGAGGGTATTGATATTTTCTGGAACCACGCAATATTATTTGGCACCAATTCAGATGTCAAGTAAGTGTCTCAAGTGTGACTGACATGATATTTTTTTCAATTCTCAGGACAATTTGAAAGAAACAGAAGAAAAGTACAGGAAAGCAATGGTATCAATTGCTCAACTAGACAACGAGAAGCAGGCACTGTTGTATCAAGTGGACTGTCTGAAGGACAGGTACAGTGAAGCAAACATGATCAACCAGGAATTTCTCCTAGCAATATCAACGCATAGTCTAATAGGCATGCCATGAGAATGAAGAAAATTATCAAGTTATGGTACAGGCATTATCAAAAGTCCTTACGTGAACTCTTGCCCGCTGCTCAGACTCGCTAGTGTGAACATTTCCTGTTTTTAATGACGTTGAATTTTCATGTCATAGGCTGGCTGAAGAGGAAGAAATCTCAAGTGAAGTTAAGGCTGAATTTAAAGAGAAAACAAAGGTAAATGCTGTTTTCGTGACCAAAAATTAAGATAAAAAAACTGCCATTTTGCACAGCATATAAGTGACTGGTAGCAAGTAATGACCTGTATTTTGTTTGTTCAGGAATGCAGTAAATACCAAAAGACCATAAAGGGGAATGAAGAAGAAATCAAGAGACTAAATGAAGCCATTGAATTTAGAGATAACTTCTTGGCGGTAAGTTTGTGCTTAGGAACAAAATAATACTGCAGTCAGCCCTGTGTCAGATCCAGATCCAGATCCAGGTCCAGATGGTTAGGGTCCCAATGTTGTTTAAAAGAATATGCTATATGGACTGACATAAGAATAGAGATTGAATTATATTTTATATACAGGGTCTGCGTGCATTCCCTGGAAGTCCTTGAAGTTGAAAATTAGAATTTATGGCCTTGAAAGTCCATGGAAAGTACTTTGGGTCCTTGAGAAACCTTGAGATTTGTTGTTTGACTGTTTCCACGTAGTGGAAGAACTAAAAAAAAAAGATTTATACTTGAACAAATGAGGCAGTTATCCCTTAAACCCGAACATCTAGTGTCACATTGTAACGGTATTCTACTGGATGGAGTCCTTGAAAAATTGGAATTTAGCCTGGAATGTCCTTGAAAAGTCTTTGAATTTTTACTTCAACTGCTCCTTAATGCCAAGAGGGGAACCATTAAAATAGGTTTTCATCCCCCCCTCACTTCTTTTCAACAGTGCTATTTTTCCTTGCATGTACAAATTCAGAAGAGATTTGTTTTTGTTTTTTTGTTTTTTTGTTTTTTTGTTTTTTTGCTGAGGAAAAGAGCGTTTGGACATTGAAAGAAGCCCTTCCTTGTGCTGTACTGTTTCATTCCCTGGAGTGTAACAGAAGATTTCTGATGTTAAGTTAGTAACTAATCTTGTTCTCTCAGGAGCGAGGTCTTTCCCTTTATGAAGACCAGGAATTGAAGGATTGCGAAGATCAAGAAGCAAGCACAGTTTCACTTAGAGATGCTATTAGTTTGGCTGTCCCTGATGAAACTTCTTCAGGTACATACAAGTCATGTTGTCATCATCATCAGTTCTCATTGCATCATGCGACACACAAATCCTCAATGGGGGTTTTGGCTCACAAACTCCTTGGAGGTTTTGTTAAGCAGGCATTGTGCTGCCCATGGAATGGTCCTACCCCTGGTAACCCACCCAATTCAAATTCAAAGTAGTCAAGAACTGAAGCTATCTAAAAAATTTAAGTCATCAACAACATTATTCCACATGGGATGAGAAGGAATCGATGATGACAATCCATGGCATATCATGAGAACATCTTAGGCTATTTACCAAGCAGTTGTGTGAAAAGAGGGAAATGAAGAAGTTTGTATAAATTAAAATCTGAGTGTGGGAGAAGTTGTATTATAAAGCAGGTATAGTTTTGAAGATAAATTTTTACTTAACAGTATAATTTATTTGAGTGTATTTAGTTTCTTGTTGTATAATATTAGACCGAAGCAGTGTGTCAGAGCCACCAAAGAGTCGTTCAAACAGTCGCCGTCCTTCCTTATCAGATGAAAAGGATGTATTAGTTTTACAGGTGAGAACATCTTTCACTATTATTTTCTACATCACTCTCCTAACTTTTGGTTATGAATTCATCCTAGAGGCACTGTGTGCATATCTCTTTTCTTGTGCCAGCACAAGTTGTCCAAAGCAAAACATGAAGTTTCATTCTGTATTTCATGATGTTTTCAGTTTATGCACAATGGTTTATTGGTTAAATGTTTAGTAAAAAGTTCTACATCTAGTTAAGCCTACCCCCCCCCCCCCCCCCCCCCCCGCGCGCGCGCGCCGAAATTCATTTTGGACGTTTAGGCGAAAATTTCAAATAAAGTAATGTATATGTCTAAGTGGCTAATTTTAGATTTTCTTGAAGTTGTCCAAAAGACATCAATTTATAGAATGTTAACATTGCGTGGTATTTGGCATACAAAGTTCTTATCAATGAGTTTGTTTCTTGTTTCTTGTTTTATTTTTGCCATTTATGAACATAATAACAACACGTGTCTATAATGTATATTATAGACAAGGAAGCCCAGAGAAGCCAATAAGGCTTATGTAAAGGACTACCTTAAACACCTAAGTCTTAACAAGAGAATAGAAATGCTGTCATCGGCACGCAAAATGATCATAATTTAGGATTAACAGTAGTTAAGAAAAATTAAACGCGCGAATGCGCAAAAGCAAAGGAAGGAAAAAAAATAAAACTTTGATTAAGCTTTCGAGACGTCTTCGTGTACTTGACAACGTGAAATTTTTCAGGTGGTGAAGGTTGCGACTCCCACAACTGCTACTTCTATAATTTACATTGGATTTTATTGTGTTATTGTACCCTAGGAAGTCTTTACAGCCGCGGAAGCCAGCAGCTAAGCGCCAGCCAGTGGTCACAAAATCCTTCACAGTTCCCAGCAGCGCAGGCAGACGGAAGAAAATGGAAGAAACCAAAAAAGGAAAAGGTCCTGCTACATCTTTTCGCATCTTCATGTTTTATTGCTTGTTAACAAATTTGATAGATTCTTAGAGTCCATACCTTAGCTTAGCTTGTCACGCAGGACATATTGCGTGACGCGTCAAAAGAACAACATGTTAATGGGGTTCTTTGCATCACTTAACGAAGATTTTGCAAAAGTGGGGTGTGCACCCACGAATATTGTCGACGTTGACCCGTCGGCTTGGTGCCACAAGGTTACGTCATGTATCTTAGCGACTTTTTATGACGATCGCAAGCTCGGACAGGATCTGGTTTGGAAAGGCGTTTGTTTCCGTGAGGAAATAAAAGAGAGAGAGCTCACTGATACTGCATGAAAATAAAGGCCTTAACACAGGATCAATAAATAGCTCGAAGTGTATCAAGGCACTTTCCTCTCACAGTGCCTTTCTCCACCCAGGTATATAAATGGGTACCGGCGAATTTAATGCTGGGCGTAACCCTGCGATGGACTGGCATTCCATCCAGGGGGTAGTAGAAATACTCCTAGTTGCTTCATGCCACTGAAAGCGGGATAAGCTCAGGCTTGATGGGCCACTTGACTCGTATGCAGACTTTACCTCATTGTATCAAAGGTACAAAAGCTCTTGTGACAACTTCGTGTTTTCTACGACTGTAACGTCCTCCAACACGACGCTCTTTGAACTTTTAGTACACTCTTCGCGTCAAAGAGTGTCTGCATCGGAGACTATGATTGTATCAAAGGCGAGTCAACTTTAATGTCGTGCAAACATGGCCTATGAGAGCAGGCTATCTTTGATAATTGAGGCCAGCAAATGTCCACAAAGGGCCCCTTTGTGAGCATTTGTTCTTGAAAGGGGTCTTTACCTTTATCCTTGATGGAACAGTGCTTGTGTACTTAGTAGTTGGTTCTCTCACCTTTCAGGTCGTAAACGTCTTGACGGCAAAAACAGAAGTACATCATATAAAGTTCTCTCTAGTATTCTTGACGGGCTGTGGCAACATCAACTACCGAATTTTGAAATGGAGCAGGGTTTTAACATTGTCTCCTCACAACTTGAGCCTCGTTGTTCAGTGTGTAGCTTCTTTTCTAAATCAGAGGTGAGGAAACCCTAGGAAAAAGAGGGAAGAGGGTCCATAGCGTGTGTTTTCTTTCCCATACGACTATTGTTCAAGTATGAAGAAAAAAAAAAACTGAGCAGCCTCAGCAAGCAGTCATCTCTTTTTAATCTCGGCATTTGAGACTGGACACGAAAAATTCCATACTGATGACGTAGCTGTACAGGGATCCTTATAGCGTCTCTGATTGGTTTCTGGGTTTTGAATTTTCGTACACAAATATCAACCAATCAGAGACGCTACACGGATCTCTGGATAGTTACGTCATCAGAAGGGAATCTTTGAGAGACGTGTGTGAGGTACAACTTATTCCAAATGATTACAGCAAACACCCTGGCTGTTGTTGTTGTTTTTTTGTTTGTTTGTTTGTTTGTTTGTTTTTTCAACAAATCAAGAGTAGAACCAAATGTAATCATTATTTAGATTACAGTTTTTTCTCTCCGCGCCTGGCATCAGTGGCAGTTTTTTTCCGCCCTTGGTAACACGTAGTTTGTTTCCCCGCGTTTGACTGCGATTGCATGTTTTCCCGCGTTTAGCGATGGTTTGCGTTTGGCGATGGTT